TCTCTCTCTCTCTCTCTCTCTCTCTCTCTCTCTCTCTCTCTCTCTCTTCTTCTTCCTTCCTTCCTTCTTTTCTTCTTCTTCTTTCTTTTTTTCTTCTTGAAAGGGCCGGCTGGCGTGTCAAGTTCCTGGGTGGCGGAGGGTTTTTGGTGCGCTGGACCGGTTGGTCCGCACTTACTACACCAAAGCCTCTGTAAAGACCCTACGCAATAGCATCCTCTACCTGCGCCAGCGTGTGGGCCATACAATTTTTTTTCTTGATTCTGCAGACAGAAATATATACGAAAAACAGGGTATGGCCGATCCCTCGTCCTCATCAAGATCCGGCATCGCCTTCCGCGTAGATGACAAATCTGTGGTGCACTGATAATCTTGCAGACTGCGGGAACTGGCGGGCAAAACGAAGCCTGGGTTTTGACAGTCAACAACCGGGAACCAATTTCTGACGAAGGATGTCGAAATCCACGAGACCTTGGAAATATTGAAGCTGGGGTGGAAGGCTCGAAGACGAAATCTAATAAACGGGCCGAGCACCTCCGCCGGGGACGGAGAGAGTATTCGCCATTTGAACCTGAGGTGAAAAACGAAAACCATGAATCCAGTACCGTGACCTCCTTACCTTGGAGCACAAGAAGTTGTAGCAGCTCGAGCTTCAAATACAATATGAAACAATTGAAGACCGCGGAACCTAATAAACGAGGCCGACCTCCAGTTTCACTAGCGCAATAATTCCACCACAAAGAACCCCCGAATTCATTGATTAAGGCCACTGTCAAAACCTCACCAGCAAAGAATCACAACCACAATTCACAAGCACAATCCATCCAAGCGTTTCCTTTCCATTGTCTGTGGCGGCCTGTGACGCAGCTCTCTTATGCAGTGTCCATGAAGATACGAGCCTTGACTCGCCAGCCCTCCGTGCATTCCCAGATCCCAGGTTAATTAGTGGCGCAGGTTATTCCTACCCTGAAACTCCCATTCTGATCTCCCACTATCCACTGCAATGTCACTTTTTTCCACCAATCATCCCCAGTCTTTCCACTGACCTTCCACTATATTTTTCCTTCTCGGTCACTATTTTTTGATTCCTTCTATTTTATTCATCCTCAAACCACTTTCTTCCCTTCATCTATATTCTTCTACCGCTCACCATATTTCACTCTTCTATCTTTCCACTCTTCTATCTTTCCACCCATCTATTGTTCCACTCTTCTTCAATATTTTCCATCGGTCATTATTTGAAGTATATTTTTCCACCCTTAAATCATTACTCTTCCCTTTGTCTATATTCTTCGACCGCTCTCTTTATCTTTCACTCTTTTAATTTTCCACCCTTCTATTTTCCCACCCATCTATTTTTCCATGTCACTATTTTTGATTCCTTCCACTATATTTTCCCATCTTTAAATTACTACTTTTCTTTCCCTCTACTATACTCTTCAACGGTCTATAATTTTCCATCCTTTCACTATATTTTTCGAACCTTCAAGTACTTCTTTTTTCGTTCTACTTTATTCTCACACCCTTCTGTGTTTTTCCATCCTCAAATTACTATTCTTCTACCCTTCCGTCCGTCTATTTCTCGGTCCTTCTATCTCTCCACCCTTCCACAATATTTTTCAGCCCTTTAACTACTACTTCGCTCTCTTTCTTCTTTCTTCTTTTACCCTTTTACTATATTTTTCTATTCTTCAATTTCTTTTTTTCTACTCTTCAATTACAATTATTCCACCCTTCTATTACCAGTACTCTACCATTCTGTTACTATTCTTCCACCCTTCCACTACCATTTCTCTTCCCTTCTTCTTTTCCCTTCGCCCTTCACCACGAATATTCCACCCCACTATACCTCTCCCCTTCTATACTATTGTCCACCCCTGTTACTCCCTTCACCCGTCCCAATTACCCCAGGTGCCGGACCAACCGCCCGCCGCAAAGCAGGCCGGTGCACACAACGCGCGCCTGCACACAGGCCGCGCCGAAAAAATACATGGCTTTTTCACCGACGTTCTTTTCCCACTTCTCTCAACAGTCACCCACAGTACAAACACACCATGTCCATCGAAGAAATCCCCCAAGGCGCCGAGGTCAACATCATCTCCAAAAACGAGAAGAAGGCCAGAGAGGCCATCAAGAAGTTGAACTTGAAGCAAGTCAAGGGCATCTCCAGAGTCACCTTCAAGCAAAGAGGCAACTTGATTTACGCCATTGACCTGCCCGATGTGTACAAGTCTCCCGCCGGCACTTATGTCGTTTTTGGCGAGGCCAAGGTCGACGACATGAACCAAAGATTGGCCGAGGCCCAGGCTGCCCAGACCGCTGCCGCCCAGGCCCAGGCCGCCGGCGCCGACGCCGACGCTCCTGCAGACAAGAGCCCCGAGTCCATCACTGCCGACCTCGAAAAGGCTTCCTTGAACGCCAAGGTGGAGGAGGCCGACGAGGAGGATGGTGACGTGGACGAGTCCGGTTTGGACGCCAGCGACATTGCCATCATTGTGGAGCAGACCCAGGTCTCCAGGGCCAAGGCTGTCTCTGCCTTGAGAAGAAACAAGGGTGACATGGTCAACGCCATCATGGAGTTGTCTTAGGTGCTGGAGTTGTCTTAGGTGCTGGAGTTGTCTTAGGTGCTGGAGCTGTATTTGGAGCTGGGGCTTTTGCGGAGCTGTTTTGAATGCGGCCTCCAGCCCAGCAGTACATACGAAACTAAACACTGAGTCCTTGACCGATCGCGTAGACCAGTAGTCCACCAGAGCATGGAGAGTTGAGCACGACGGCTAGATTTAGATGGGCTGGGGATGCTCCTGTTATCCAGGATATATTAGATATTTCGGATCAATCCAGTAGATAGTTGATATCCAGTATGTCGGATCAGTGAGGTCCAGAAGATCGTGATAACTAGGATGGATTTCGGATCACTACCAGTATTTGGAATCAAGTGTGTATTTGGTATCCTCATTTATTGATGTCTTGGTTCAATGACTACCAGTAGATAGTTGATATCAAGTAGGTGTTTAACTTTTCGGCTCAATAACTACCAGCAGATAGCTGATATCAAGTAAGATTTGCTATCAAGTACGTATCTGATATTTCTGACACTGGCACCAGATATTGCATATCCGTCATGCATTGTTCAGAATATCTCGCATGTATGTGCTATATAGCATGTCAGTGATACGCAGCACATATTTGGCATCAAGTATGCATTTGATATCTCGCCTCAATGAATACCAGCAGATAGTTGATATCAAGTAAAATTTGCGATCAAGTAATTCAATATTTCGGACCACTACCAATATTTGAATCAAGTCTGTATCTGGCATCTAGCATGTATTTAATGTCTTGGCTCAATGACTACCAGTAGATAGTTGATATCGAGTAGGTGTTTGACTTTTCGGCTCAATGAACACCAGCAGATAGTTAATATCAAGAAAGCTTGATATCCAGCATGGATTGATATTTCAGATCAGTGAGCCGCCATGTGTACTTGATATTTCGAATCATTACCAGCAAATAGTCGATATCGAGCACGCATTTGATGTCTCAATGAAGACTAGTGGATAGTCAATCTCAAGTTTGTAAGTGATATCAGCATGCATTGATGTTTCGCCTCAATGAGCACCAGCAAGTATTTGGCATCCAGCGTGCATTAGATATTTCTAAAGAGCCCCGGCAGCTCATTGATATCAAGAAAACACTTTTCATTCCGAATCAATGACTTCCAGCATCTATTAACCGGCACGCGCTTTCGAATCAACGACCAGCAGCAGATGTCTAACAAGTAAGCGACGTTCACAATCTATGCTATCGACTCCGATATATCGTGTACCAGCATATATACGGTATCCAGCATGGTGATAACTCGAAGCCACGATCCACAGCATGTAGCCTCCGAGCTCGTAGTTCCTTCAAGCAGAAACCACCCAGGGAGTTCAATCAAAATACACAACCAAAAACGCACAACCATTTCGAGCATTCCAACTCGTCAACACACATTTCATACCGGCGAGTAAGCGAGACCATGCATGCCAATGGTACCACTCCACAATGTGCCAAAACGGTGGATGGTGCCAAACAACGCAGGCTAGCGACACGATCTATTCACGTAGACCAGGAACATCCAGCACGGGAACGAAGAGACATCGGCCGCTCCCAAAAGCCGCCTCCAAGCACGCACCGCTGGCAGGCTTGAGCGTGATGTCCATTGCCCGAGCAATCACCCCGGCAGTCCGAAACAGGCAACACTCAACCACCGTGTCCCGTGAGCACATACCCGGCACGTGCTCCACTGGGGGTGGATGCCAACAGTGGACAGCACCCCACTACTTCGTCAGGGTGGAAGCAGGAGATTCAGTGTCGCCCGCCTCCGGCCTCGCTTCGGGCGTCGTTTCAGACTTTACTTAGGGCGTCGTTTCAGACTTTGCCTCGGACGTCGCTCCAGGCTTCGTCTCAGAAAGCACTCCAGACTTCGCAGAAAGCACTCCAGACTTCGCAGAAAGCACTCCAGACTTCGCAGAAACCGCCCCAGACTTCGCAGAAACCGCCTCTGACGTCAGCTCAGCCCCCCCGGGCCCGTCTCCCCGATCGGCGCGCTTCTGCTCGGTGCCCACTGATTCCTGCTGTTTCCCCGCGTCGCACGCAGGCCCGACTGGCGCGGCCTCGCACGCCTTGCCCTGCCTGGCGTGGGCACTCCCATTTATGTACCCGCAGTGGCGGCAAATGTAGGTGACGCTGACGGGATTGTCGCAGCCCGGCGGCGCCAAGCCGTTGTGCGTGTAGCAGTTGGCGCAGATCAACGCGTACCGGTTCTCGACGTTCTCGTTGTGGTCCAGGCCAATGATGAAGTCGAGGAGCCGGTCCTGCAAAGACAACTTGGCCGGCTCGGCACGGGCCGGGGCGGGCCTCGGGCCCGGGGCCCGGCTCTCCACGTCGGAGGACTGCCTCGGTTTCCTGGGCACGTTGACCGTGGGGGGAAGCGCCGGATTTCTGGGCTCGTTGACCGTGGCGGCAAAAGCCGGGTTTCTGGCCCCGCTGGCAGTGGCGGCAAGCGCCGGTTCCGGCGCGTTGGCCGCGTCCGGCGCCCTAGCCACCTGGTCCCCCCCGCTGCCGAACTTCTCCAAGATCTGGTTGGTCCGGCTGAAGTTGGTCACCTGCTTCAACTCGTCGAGCTTGGCTTTGTGCTTCTGCAAGAGCGCCTGCATCGAGCGGTTCTTGCTGCGGAGCAACACGCCGAACATGGCGTCCACCACGTATACTACTATAGCTATGAACACCGGCAACAACGCCACGGCGGCCAAGTCGCGAGCCAGCAGCGCGGCCACAAACGCGGCGAGCCGCGAGCGGCCAGGGCCCCGCGGGCCCGTATTGGTGCACGAGGCCTTGTATCGCACGGCCACGTACGAGAAGTAGAGCATGGCGCCGTACAAAATGAGGTGGCGGCGCCACACGCGTTGTTTGCGCTGGAGCGCGGCCGTATGCTCGCTGTTCAGCGAGATGGCCTGTGTGAGCGCCGAGAGCTCCTGCTCGAACCTGTCGGGCTGGAAGTGTGTCAGTTTGAACAAGCCCAAGAAACCCATGGTGGGGCGTCTAGAGGGCTGGGACGGGTGTTCGCACAGTAGGCGTGCTGGGGCCGGTGCGGCGCCACGTGACCAGCCCGGGGTGTCCGGTCCAAGCCGATTGTTTACTTTCAAAGATTCCGGCGATTCGAAAACTCGACGGTATATCGAGACACTGGTGGTCTTTAAATTTATGTTCTTTAAACAAATTGCATTATTAAAAGGTGCGGGCTCCAGGGACGGTTCCATGGCCAGTGCTGGGCCAGTACCGGGCCGTTGTTTTGTCACATGACCATGTCGAATAAAGCCGGTTCCCAGTCCGAGGGAGACTTTGTATCCTATCAGAAAATTCGGATGTTGATGGCTTACGTATCAAGTCACTGGTAATTTTCAGTTTATATCTTAAATAAATTAATGAAAGGTGCGGGTTCCAGAGCGAGTTCCAGGGCCGGTTCCAGTGCCAGCTTAGGGCCGTTTGTTTTTTCAC